GCCAAAACATCAGTCTCCTGACAAATCTCAGACATTTTATGCCAGCAGTTTCATCATGCTAATATATGTATCACATATGGTCTCCGTAGCTTAGCTATTGGTATGACGAAAAGACGATAGAGTCTCAGATTGGATCTGACAGCAAGCAAAAAAAAAAGAGGCGGATTTGTTGATCTTGAAATTAAAGATATAATTCAACCGTAACTTTCATGTGATGATGCATTAGCGAGTTGAAGGTTGCAAATTATGAGCTGTAATTGTAAAAACGATTCTGACCGTGTGCATTCTTCTGCAATACCATCTGGAAACTTGGATTCAAGTGAAATTTATGACATTTCTGAAAACTCATATGAACAATGATTGTATTGGAATCATTCACTCCACATTCCCATTAAATACCCCAAGCAGAATAACCTCCCCGAGCCACTGTATAAAACAAATCCGCCTAGAATGCAAAGGAAACAGTCCTCGAGTCCTGCTGCGTCAGCGCAGGTAACTGTCGCTACCTGCTAGCATAATGGGGCTTAGAGAGTTGGCAGTTGCTAAGTTAAATAGACAGGTCAGAAATGTCAGCAGCTCATTCTAGTACATCCACATTAGTATCAACGCCACTTGCTGCCTTTGCTGGGGCGAGCCAGACGGCTCGGGTTTCGCGTGCATTCAGAGGAAAAAGTCAGTCAGCTCATGCACAGGCCATGCGTTTTAATTAGCTAATGGCACGAGCCGTTTCATCTCCAGCATCTGTGTTGATTGCTCACAAAAACCTCCATTTACTCCAAAACACGCCATTTTGGTTGGGTCTGGGCCGTCTGCTGCTGGAGAATTCAGAGCACCCATCCAAAAATCAGTCTAATAAATCTTTATATATATGTTTGCCGGTTTCACACTAGCGAAGGGGGGAAAAGGAAATTCCATGATCTATGTTTTTTCCAGCTGGTTGTTTGAGCCAATTTTCCTTCAAGCAAAGGCCTGTATGTTCAAACTTTGAAACGAATGCGCCATAAGAGTGGCTCTGCAATTATTTTGATGAGGTAACAAAAAAGGTGTGGTTTAGGAAGTAAATCCTAATATCCGTTTAGTTACGAAATGTTATTCAAAAATAAAAACATACTGTTTTGTGAGCCAAATGTTAAATTACCAACTGTCTGGTGATGGTGATGACGACAGAGATGAGAAATACAAGGAAATGGGTGTGCACTGCTTTAGGTCACAAATGCAATTTTAATTGCAAAAACCTGTCCTATCTAGTAGATCTAGTAAACTGAATATTTCACAAATGAGAAACATTAAAACGGGGGTAATAATGGGCAAACTATTAATAAAGTAAAGTAATAATTTAATTATATTTTTAAATAATTATTAATAATTGATTTTTATATTTATTATTTTGCTAATTTTTCCAACCCTGATTAAATAAAACCATTGCTGAGGAAAATGTTTGATTTAACATTTTAAACTACTTGAAAAGACAACTTGTAAAAACTAGATGACAAAAAAAAACGCAAGAAATAAATGATTGAACAAACAATCCTGTTCCAAAATACACCGACATATTTTCATCAGACATGTCTGGACAGATGACTCAGGAAAAGCCCTAGTAAAATCTAAAAGGTTAGAGCAATTAATACGGTTTTATTATGACTATGAGAACTCAGTGTCTGTTTAGTACAGTAGTAAACGCACACTAACCACATAAAATACAGAACAGAACACAGCCCATTTACTAAACCTGTCACAGCAGGCACACAAACTGCAGAAAATGTCAAGAATACCTCAAGTCGACTGCAAGCACGCTAAACCAAAGCCAATATATTAATGTAATAGGATTAAACCAATACATTCAAGAGGAAATTCAATAAAGAAACAATCATCAATGTCCACGATGCATGGATCTGCTCATCAAACATGAGTATTATCAACAGATACGCTCTGATGAGCATTTACATGATTTTTATGAGCTGGGATAGGTGATCTGAGATACAAAGCTGAATCCAGTAAAGCACTGACGTAAAAGAGCCCTGGGACAGTGTCGGGGCAGTAGTCGCCGGATAAATTTTTAATATTAATGCAGACAAGGAGGGCAAAAAACCAATAAACTAAAACAACACTTGAATTAGGCATGAAACACAACAGGATATTGCAGTAAGATTATGTTGTTTCCTTTTAGATGCCTTCTGCTCTGCTGTCCGACTACCACAAAACAGCCCGCGGTGCTTTTTAATTGGAGAGGGTGAACCAAAAAGAGGCTCTCAAACTCCGCAGAGCGGTTTTAAGAGGTCTGCCGAGCTCAGTGCTTGCAGATGTAGCTGCGTTTTTACGTGCCGGGGCATAAAACCGCGTCCAGGTATGGCCGGTGACAAAGCAGAGAGTCAGAACCCCGTCCTATGTTTGTGATAATGACTTTTTCCTGCCAAGGCGCTGCATGATACAAATCAAATGCAGCACAGCTGGTAGAGAGGACAAAGCAAGGGAGAGAAAGCGAGAGAGAGAGAGGAATGAGGGAGTGTTGTGTTTGGATGCAGAGGAATCATGCCTCGTGCGCTCTCGGAGGAATCTGCAGTTGGAAAGATAATAAAGGGATTAGCTGGGTTTTCTGAAGCATTTGCTTCTAAATCAAAATGTCTCATCGGTTTCCTCTGCACAAATAGCTAGAATACCAACATGTCTTTGTATATTGCACGAGGGCCACAAATGCAACATGTTTCAGACAAAAGCTGCTTCCTGCGGAGGTTACAGGAAGGCATCGTTTCGGAGGAAAAAATGAGAACGCGTCAGAATCTGAGCAGGGTCAACTACAGGTGTTATGTGTAAATATAACTAATTAATTAATTGTATTTCTCCAATGTTTACAAGGTGCTGAATGAATCAAAATGAGTTTTCATTCAGAACCACTCTGTTGAGTCTGTACTTTAACTGCAACTGCAAAATTACATAATAAAGAATGTAAATGTCATTAAATTGCATTTTAAATAAAAAAAAAAACAGACTCGTCTAGTAAAATAATTCTGCTACAAGTTAAATTTTTTGTCTTAAAAAAATATTTAAATATGTCAATAAGTTGTTAATCAAACAAAATCTTTCCAAGTACCTGAGATCTTTTTAAAAACCACCAAGGCTACACATACTGCAGGTTGGGAATCACTCAATAAAACACTACTAACACATGAAAATGCTTTCGAGTTTTACTTAAATTGTCTTTCCTCCCATTTGCATAGGAAACGATAATATGATTCCAGCAAAATAGAGACTAAACTTTGACAAAGATGACTCAGTGAGAGGCCCTCATTACATTCAGAAACAATGTCCAGCCATTTTAGAACAATACACGGGTTTGTTCCTATCTTAGCATCTGCTTAGTATCGATCTAAATAAAATGAGTGTTTGTTTGTTCTGACAGGCTGTGACACCGGGGCTGGTCTTGCCACATACTCCGGGCAGAGCTTTGAGAGGAAGAACAGAACCCCTACAACACTATTGTAAAAGTATGAGCAAGTCAGAAAAACAGAGATTATTATGAAAAAACAAAACAATAATGCATATACAACAGCAAATGCAACAAGTCACGAAAATAATTTCCAGAACTACTAAGTTTATGCCACAGAGTCCGCAGTGCCATAAAATATAGTTGCACGTTTTGGAAGGAATTTACATGATCTAATTACATCTGTCATTCCAGCTGCTGTGAGCTCAGAGTAAACCAACATCCTCTGGAGAATAAACAAAACTTGTCATTAATAACGTCAACGGATCTGCTTAATGCTAGCTAATATAAATGTTACCCTTGTAACATAGTCCACATATTAGCGTACAGCTGTCTCCTATTGACATGGCTAAACAGATCATTTGGATAAAAAAAAGGTATCCTGGCATTTAAAGGAATAGGCCGACTTTAAAGCAGTCTGTAAAATAAAAGCCATTTTGGACAGAGTCTTGTATATGAAACAGTATATATCTAACAAGAAATCCAACAATCTCCAATTGAGCAACAGAGGGGAATTTTGCTGGTCATCTCCTCTGCGGCTCCGTTCTTACAGACTACTACATTTTTCCAAGTGTTTAGTTTGGATAAAGAACCAATTCGCTTAATACTTGTGGGATGGCTAAATGTTTAAACCTCCCATTTAAAGGGATCAAGTGCATGCATTATTTGGTTATGTTAAACAGATGTGTAGTTTCTTTTTTTATCTCAATCATTTAAAAAGAAGAAAAGACACAGAGGGAGAGAGAGAGATCTTAAGAAAACAAACAGAGTTTCACCCTACACAAATTGTGGACTAATTGTGTATTTGGACTTGTGCATTGGAAGGGCCTGAGCCATTTTTCCACTTGAGCTGAGAATGTTAGAAAGGCACTTTGACATTGATTAGTGTGTTGACTTGTGGAATCAGAGAGTTTTACCTGGATGTTTCGGGTTTCACCACAACACTATTTATACAGCTAGACTACAGGTCCAATTAAATACCCAAACCCGTCATTGGAAAAGTTAGCTGCGCTTTCAGTTGAAATCATAATTTCTCATGCCATATGATATGGTTGTGGAAAAAAAAATGCTGAGGAAAATAGGCATAGGTGGTCCATTGAAAGCTGTTACAAAAAAAATGAAGCTTCCAAATCTATTTCTCGAATAAAACTGATAAATTTTTTTTTTTTAAAAATATATATTTGTGAAAAACTTTTGGGAGGCCTTTAAAAAGAGATTTGATTTAATAAAGCTAAATGAAATGTATTATCCTCAGTTGATAATACATACTTAAAAGCTGATTTTAAAACTGACTTTCGTAATTAAAAATAATTATATCGGCTTTCGGTTTCAGGAACTTTCCACTCAAATTAAAGTCATTGAGGATTCCAACTAAAACAGCCCAGTCCAAAATACTGCTTATGCCTTTTCAAGGCCATTTCAACTGCCAGTTATAATCGCCTCTATGAATTTCACTATGGGGAACTGCTGAAAATTGTGCCAGCATTTTGACAGCCAGTTAAAAACTGTGAACACTCACCATGCATTTGTTAGGTTTCTCTCCAGAGTGAACCCTCATGTGGATGAGCAACTTGTAGCGGGCGTTGAAGGGTTTGTAGCGACGGACACATCCGGCCCAAAAGCAGGTGAAGTCCTCACCCTTTCGCTGGTCGATGTGGACCTTCTCGATATGCCTAACCAGTTCCTCCTGCTGCTCGTACGCCGCGCTGCAGTCAATCCAGCGGCATACCTGCTTATCGCTAAATACGTCCTCCCTGTCGCTCACCTGCTGTTCGACCAGGCCTGTGGGTTTGGGTTGTGCCAGCAGGCCTGAGGGTGGAGACTGCTGCTGGCTCTGAAGATGCAGTAGAGCTCCTGGGCCGGAGCCCATGTACTGGTGCAGGTGGTAGGGAGGGGGCATGGGCGGCCGTGGGGGGCCTGTTTGGTGGTGGTGGTGGTGATGGTGGGAATGCCCAACGCAGTGGCTTCCACGGCTCGCCAGATGGTGATAATGATGCTGAAAGAGCTCCTCCTCACTTGGAGAGAAATCATCCACCGGTTCCTGTTTCAGTGAACAGTTGTCCAGCAGAGCACCGGGCTGAATGAGAAGTCCAAGCCCGTTGCCGTTAACCACGCCGGGCCCCGGCTGCATGGAGGCTACGTCCTCACAATGCTCCACTGATGACACTGAGGAGGATGATGACGAGGAGGACAGGGGTAGGAGGCAGGACGAGGTGGAAGGTGACGGCAGCTGAGGGCTGGGTGCGGGGAGAGGCTTGTGGGAGAATGCGGTGGCGGTAGGCGACGACGAATTGGTGCGCAGGCCGTTAACGCAGGACATCTGGGAGGAGCAGATGTTGGCGGCAATATCGATTCCCTCTGAGGCTGACTGGGAGGCCACCAAGAGGCAGCGTCTCTTCAGTCCGCTCGCATTCGACCTTGCTGAGTGACGCGAGCTCGGGGACAAAGCTAGTGGGGAGGAGCCATCTTCATTATTAAATGGATACACAGTCACCGCCATTGCCGACAACGACAGAACAGTTGCTAAGTTACTGTCATCGTCGCCACCGCCGCTGTTCGAACAGTCCAGTTCCCTGCGACCTCCTCCCATCCCTCCTGAAAAGTCGCTCAGGGCCGATCCCAGCTTGTAGCCCTCCTGTTTGATGGGGTACGATGGCAAAGCATGACACCCATTGACGCCACCGGACAGAGACAACGAGCTAAGCTCCGTCTGAAAGCCAGCAGACCTGCGGGAGAATGAAACACACCCAGAGGAATATGAGGAGCGTTTAGGCAGAACGGAGCAGGAAGAATATGCACACTATTAACAGCCCGGGTCTGTTGAAAGATAAAGGCCAGGGTCTCTCAAAGTACTGCCAACTCTTTACTGTCAGACACCACGGACACAGACAAGCTCTGTGCTCCGGTCCTGGCAAGCCTGCACTCTCAAACATCTCTGTTAACACTGACAATGCTTGAGCAAAAGCGGTGCGATTGGAGATTCATTTCGCAAACCCTTACATGGTCTTATTAGGTTATAATGTTTGGTTTGTGCTAATCAGACGCTACTTTTTATGTTCCCCTCTCTGACAGGAAAAAGTCACTGGATGGGTTTCCACTGTGGTGTACTTTAAACACTGGTTAGATCCACCACAAAAGCTCCCGAGCAATTCCATGAATAAATGAAGCAGGAAATTTGGCCTGAACTATGGCTGTGAATGGGTATTTAAAAATAAGAAAAGCGAGAGATGAATACAGGCAGGCTGTCATGCTCTGCGTATGACAGGCTTTGATGACACAATACGGGTTAACCGAAGCCTACATGTGGGCTAAATAGAAGTCACCTGGTTTTGGAGGTATAATAGTGGGCCTCTAAATGCTCTGTGTTTACAATACTCCCCATTATAGTGGGAATCTTTGCCCCCCTTGAATGGGGGTCAAATTTCCCTGTGCGTCGCTGTGATCTTCCACATAATAATTCCTGTCAGTTTGCTCATTATGGATTTGTGTGCAAAGCTCTGGAATGATGTGAGAAGGGCCCTCTGTCCCAGCAGCCTATGAAGGATTTTGTCTAAGTCCCCTTTTCACTTGGCGCAGGAAACCGCTAATGCTAGCGCACTGGCTTAAATGAAGCCTCAAGTTTGTCATGAGTCGCTCCATTCAGGCTCACCACTTCCTGTTTGGCAGGAGCAGTGACGTTCAGTGACAATATTGGGAGAGTTGGATGGCGTGTTTGAGTGAAAGCACTTTGGAAAGCATCCCTCGCTGAAACTATGGGTTTCAACTGTACTGCGGCTACACAGAAGTCAACAGAAAACCGAGGACAGTCTCTTTTCCTAGCCGTTTAAAAAACAAACGCAGCCAAGAAGCACCACCAGTACTGCAGTGTTTGACGGGCTTGTTTGACTTGTTCCACACTGCACTAAGCTTTAATAAAACAACCTACATTATTTGACTTGCAGATATGTTTACAGTCTTAATGTAATTACATCACTATACAATTGTAGAGACTATTTTCAACGCTTTACATACTTTAGATTTACTAGATCCTAGTGTCCAACTTTATATTTTGAACGTGTTTAATGGGTGTCCTTTTCTGTCTTACAATCACTTTATTTACAGACAATCGTGTATAAAAATAATACTTGCTGTTGGGTTGTTTTTTTTTCCCGGTAAACTAAATAAACGTATTGGTTTTTTTTAAAGGGATACTCTTTTGACTTTTTTTAGAAATTCCCCCAGAGTTAAACAGTTGAGTTTTACCATTTCGAATGCATTCAGCCAATTTTCAGATATTTAGAAGAATATCAGTAACCAAACAGTTTCTGGTCTCATTGACTTCCATAGTATATTTTTTTCCTACTATGGCAAGTCAATGAGACCAGAAACTGTCTGGTTACTGATATTCTTCTAAATATCAGAAAATCGGCTTAATGGATTCAAAAACGATACAACTCAACTGTTTATCTCTAACTGTATATCTATATATGAGTTGTAAAATGTATCCCTTTAAATAAAAAGAGAGTTCTTCTAATACACTACTGTCCAAAAGCTCAGAGTTTTTTAATGCTTCTAGAAGAATAACATTTTCTATTTTAGTATTTTAAAATGTAACTTATTTCTGTGATGCAAAGCTGAATTTCAGCACCCATTACTTCAGTCTTCAGTCACATCACTATAATATTCTGAGTTTGGTGCTCAAGAAAAGCTTATAAATATTCTAAAACTTTTGTGCTGCTTAATATTTTTGTGGAAACCGTTATAAAAAAAATCCTGGATTTTTTGAAGAATGCAAAGCTCAAAAGAACAGCATTTATTTGAAATGGAAATCTTTTGTAACATTATAAAAGATTTCCATTTTTACTGTCTTTACTTTTGATCAATTTAACAGCAATACTTTCTTTTAAAAAAATGTACCCCAAATATTTAAATGATAGTGTAGGTAGGAGGCGGTGTATTTACAATCACTCATGAATATTAATTAGGTTCTGCAAAATGAATTACAAGGTTCGAATCTTTCAGTGTTTTAGCAAATAAACAGTCAGTGTAATGGAGATCAGACCTGTAGAGCATCGGTCAAAACTGAATGTAAATAACATTGTGCTTCAAAAATGTTCAAACTTCACTTCATATTTTAAATAGCGCATTTAGTTACAGTTTTGTCATAAAAGTAAGTTCTCATGTATCAACTGTTCATGCTGACCTATCCAAGTGCCAGGGGTGTAAAGTAACGAATTACAAATACTCACGTTACTGTAATTAAGTAGTTTTTTTCAGAAATTGTACTTTTTTGAGTAAGTTTAAAATTGTGTAATTTTACTTTTACTTGAGTACATTTTAAGTGATGTATCGGTACTTTTTCTCCGCTATTTTCCTTCTGTTTGTGGCCGTTACTCCTTACATGCTTGTTTTAATTTTATTTTTATCCATCAACGTGATTGGATCGAGTAATCGGTCTCGTGACTGTCATCAATTCAAATTAAGCATATAAAACTTACCGCCTACTCCTGCTGTTACTCGTGACTGCTGTGGAAGTGCATTCATCACGCATTGATTCAATCCAGATATCAGCGTCTTCCTCTAATATGCTAAGGTACATTTCACATTTCTGCTTAATATGATATTTATATAGGCTGGCCTGTCTACATGGCCTAACATTTGGTCTAAGGTTGGGGGAATTGCGAGACGAGTTCATAATGCGGTGAATTCCCGCTCCCATTTACTTCACAATCACAGGAGAGACGCGCGTCACGATCTGCCGCGTCTCGCGCTCGCCATGCCGCCAGATTCAGAATCAGTGCACCATGAACTGCATTACTTAATAAGAAATTAGCACAGCTCGTTAATAAACAGCGTTTTTTGATTGATCCATTATGCGATCCGTCTTCATTTGGCAAGTGCACTTGCGCAAAAACATTTTTTCATGCTGAACTTTTTTTTGTGTGGATATCATGCTGCTGATAAAACGGCTTCGCCGAGACTTCAGAGACAAAGTGTGTTTGTTTCTTTTGTAAAAGTTTCCTGGATATAACTTCCCTATTTAATGCACAATTGTCCTTACAAATATATTATCAGCATTACAATGTGAGTAAATGTAGCCGTGTAAAATGTAAGGGATGATGCCAACCTTCTAGAACAATGCATTTACGTTTAAATTGTAACATATTTAATAGCATGGAATTAAAGTGTGTAATTAGTGTTAGCTCACTATCTTAGCCCTTTTCAGTGCATTAGTTGAGGTAATATGATAATATTAGTGATTCTCATTTATCAAAACACTAACATTGGTACCGTTTTGGAGAGAAATTGGGTATTTTTTTATTCAACCCATCTCTTGGTGTGTGATGCTGAACTATCATATGAGTTTCTAAAGGTTTTTGAATTATTTGCACAGTTATGAATATTGATATTTTATGTGCAACAATAGCATGCTCAGGCCCAGTGGCTTTTCGCCTAATTTTAAATGCTTTCCCCCCCAAATAATATGATTTAAATGGTGATGAGTGTACTGATTTGATGCATTTTAAAAAGATGGATGATAGATATTCTTCAATCTTTCTTACAAAGAACAAAATATAATGTGAATTCCATTATGTGCATTTTTAAACTTATAAGTTGTAGTGCACAGTGTTTATTATAAGGGTTAGAATCCGCACCTCAGTACTCACTACTCACTACTCTTGAGTACTTTTAAATAAGCTACTTTTTTACTTTTACTCAAGTAGTTTTTTGGACAAGTACTTTTTACTCTACTCACACTACATTTTTGGAATGTAATGGTACTTTTACTTGAGTATGTTTTTTCAGTACTCTTTCCACCACTGCCAAGTGCTCAAATGTGATGGGAGGGCTCACCTGGCGTCTCGGTGAGGGCTGTCCTGCAGGTGAAGGTTCTGTCCGGGCTGCTCACAGTGGTTTCTGTGGTGGTACTGGGCTCCAGACTGAACTGGCAGATTCTGCCCACAGCGCAGTGAGGTTCCTTCTTCTGCTGTCAATTCAGGAGCGCACTCCTTCTCTGAACAGAACGAGATACATCCTCCATTCACTGAAACAGGTGGGAAATAAAATAGGTAACAATTACAGATCTCTAAATCATTTGTCAAACTTTTGAATCCATTGCATGGCTTTCTATAATACTTGATTCTGACTGGCCAATATTATCAACTCAAATCAACATATGTCTATTTATTTATCTGGTAAGTGAAACACAGTGCGTCATTGCACAAGGAGAAACTCAGTGTATTGCAAATGTAATCTAAATAAAATATGATTTCATAGTGTTTGGAATTATTAATGGAAGGAAAGCCGACTCCAGTGTGGATGCCGGCATCTTTCAAGTTTTTTATTAACTCAATTTAAGCAATATCATTTGCTCACAATGATGAAATTATGTATGATCAAAACCAGCATCTAAACTTGTGCATAAAGCCAAACCAAAGACAAAAGAGGTTTGGTAAGATATTGTTTCCAAGTACACAAAATGAGAAGGTGACAAGTAATTTCTTTATAACAGAGAAAAACAAATGTGAGGGGAAACAAAGAAATTAGTGTTGAGAGGCGAGAAGAAATGAGAGAAAGGGAACAGAAGGTCACAAGACACGAAGGTCCTGTAAAGCACATGCTGGATCCCTGAACTCAATAAACAGAAGAAACACACTTTTCACATCCATTCAAAGAATAATTGTTGTTTATTAAATTTTGGATCATTTTTTCTTGGCTTAAAATTCCCACAGTTGGAATGTCAAACTGTATTTGTGTATAACATCACTGCTCTCTGAGCTAAAGCCATGGGCTTTCTTGCTTCATATGGAGAAGATTGAGAGGTTTGTCAATGACGTTGGGAAAACTAACGTTCTTTTATTTACGTCCTCCTATTCTTGCATCCCTTAGTATGCTACTATGCTGTGCCCTCGTTTTAAATAGAAATGATACATTTTGAACATACGCTAGACTTGATTCCTGTATGCGACACTGATAATCGGTTTCACAAGAAGCCTTCGAATGCCACAAAGTCAAGAGGTAAACTATACTGCTGATGTGAGGTGCAGAGAGAATATAGCCCGAAGCCACAGGAATTTTCAACACAAATCTGTTTTGCAGATTTTCAAAATTGCTCAATATCATATCTGGGACGCAATTCTAGCCACAAGAGGCAGCTTGTGAAAATAATTTCGCTGTTAGCCCTTTAGCTGAGACCCTTTAACCCTTTAGCAGAGAACTTTTGAGGCACGGTTGATTAAATGCATAACAACAGTCACAGATAGCACATGAAACGCCTTTAATTCAAACTCTTGTGCAACACAGAAATTGCACATCCAACCTGCAGAAGATGAGGCAAATGGCTCAGCATCAGAATACTTCACAGTCCATATGCTTCTTTTAATGTATTATTGTCCAACTCCAAAAATGTGCTGCCAAGTTACATCAATTCAGATCCAAGTTAGCACTAAAAGCCTTGCTCTATATGGACAGAAATATGGGAGAGGTTTAAAGATTTGATGCTTTGTTACATTAACAGAATTAGTCATGGCAAGGCTGCATAAGAGAAGCTTCTCCACATTTGGAAAGTTGGACAGAACGTTAGATTGGATTTCTATTGAATTTGCGATGGTAATTCACTGTTGAGTATTGCTCTGGGTTTTGGTCAGAAGGTGGAAGTCTGTTTTGTGAAAGCCAGGACAAGGAAAAAGAAAGAGAGAAATTTTAATTCTCAAAGAGCAGTGGAATCTATAGCCTACTTGCACTAAAAACATCATGTATCATCAGGTACATTACTACATTTATCCTTTCATGTATTGTAAAGTATCATTTTAGGGTTTTATTGCACTTTTCATTAATGGAAACAGTGGAAAGGAAATTATTGGAGAGGCCACATTCAAACCTACATCTATCACATGAGCACCACAGTCCATGGAGCACACAAGGCCCTGACTCAGGGGTGGTTCTTGGCCCCCCTCGGGCCCCCCTAAGTTTGGAATCGTATCACACCAAACTATTTTCTGATACTATAAAATGAAGAAAACAGAAAGAAACCCGAAAAAAGACCGACTAAATCCAGAATAACCGTGGCAATGTTTCCAAGATGTTTGAAGAAACCTTCCTACAAAGTTACAGTTTTAGGTTTTAGGCACATGTGTGAAAATGCTGTAAAGTGAGGATGCTCTATTTATGAAAAATGATGTTATAAATAGATTTTATTTATCAGTGTACTTCTATTAACTAAATCAAAACAATATTTGCTGTGACCACCCTTTGTGTTTAAAAAGGCTTTCTTTAAAGGGATACTCCACCGTTTTTTCATTTTAAACTATGTAATTCCCTCAACTAAGACGAGTTGATACATACCTCTGTCGTCTCAGTGCGTGCACTCAATCGCTCTGGCGCGCGAGACACTTTGATAGCATTTAACTAGCAAAGTTCATTCAATATGGGGCAAGCAGAGAAGCGACCAAACACCTCCACGGTTTCCCTATTTAAATACAGTTACTCGAGCAGTGTAACTCGACCTAGGACGGTGACACAAAATAAAATGTTGCACTTTTCTAAACGTGTAAAGTTGAAAACTATATTGTATGGCGGAATACCATAGCAAGTGTTTGGGAGCACTTCGACTCGGCGCAGTAACATCATCACTCGTGAAAAGTCCTCACCCCCCTCTCACTCTCCGGAGTGATGATATTACTGCACCGAGTCCATAGATAAATATGCGTGGTATTCCGCCATACAATATAGTTATCCACTTTACATGCTTAGAAACGCGCAACGTTTTATTTTGTGTCACCGTCCTAGTTTGAGTTACTCTACTCCCGAAGTGGATCGGGAAAACGTGGAGGTGTTTGGTCACTTCTCTGCTTGGCCCATATTGAATGAACTGGGCTAGTTAAGTGCGATCAAAGTGTCTCGATTGAGCGATTGAGTGCACGCACTGAGACGAAAGAGGTATGTATTAACTCATCTTAGTTAAGGGAATAACATAGTTTAATATGAAAAAACAGTGGAGTATCCCTTTAAGCATCTTGGAGACATTGCCGCAGTTCTTCGGGATTTAGTCTGTCTTTGTTTCTTCATGTAATCGGAGATGGACTTGAAGATGTTGAGATAAGATCTCCGTGTGGAACATACCGACTGTTGTCAGACTCTGCTTACAAAAATATCAATGGCAAAAGGAATGTTTGGAAATGTAAACTGATATTTCCTCTTGACACATTACAGGAAAAGATATAAATAACTGTTTTTTTTTTTTTTGGGGGGGGGGGGGTGAAAATACTAACATGCCTAAGACTTATGTAAAGTACTAAACCTTCAAAAGAGCTTCTTTCCCAGACTTGTCATGAAAAATCAAACAGAAAAGGAGGGTTCCAACACATTGGCTCTCATCTATACCTGGAAGACCGACAGAACACAGAGAAGGATGTTTCTCCAGCACTCTCAGAAGACCTCTGATCCTTGACCAAATGTAAGAAAGGGTAAAGGAGGGAGCAGGTTTGCAAGCATTCAGAAGCCATTAAGGAATGACAATCTTGGGTGTGAGATCACTGCTGTGCCGTGCCAATAACACCTGAGGGTAAACTTAAGCAGAGCTCTGTGATGAAGACCAGACTGAGGTGCTGGCTTCATTCACAAAAGAAACAGGAACAAAATCACACAGCAGAACCCAACTGAGGGGAGAAAAACACTTCCATTGTCGTTCTTGTTTCACATGTACTCTGAACAAGTAGCAAAACTGTTTTATATGGCAAGCTATACATCCATCTTATCCAGACTCATCAACTTTTAAAAAGACACTTCCCATATCTTTTGTTGTTGACGTCAAACAAAGTCTCTGCTTGCTAAAGTTCTACATTATTTGGCGCAGCTTCATCTATCATTTAAAAATTAATAACACAGGTAACTCATACATTTTTAAACTGTCAATTTATCCAGTTAATTTAGCATATTTTAGGTCTATGCAGATCATGGAAATGTTAATATGTTTCATATTAATACATTTCAAGTGTAAGGTCATACAAATCCCCTATTGAGTTTTTTTTTTTTTTTAATAACATTATTAAGTTATTAAAGTTTTTTTTTAAATCAAGTTATGGTCATAAATGATGGAGAAAGAAATATTGCTTCATTTTTTTTTTGCCCATTACTGCCATTTTACTAACATTCAAAAATTTGCAGAAGTTTGCAAGACATATTTTTCTTTCAAATAAAAACTTTTCTAAAACAAGATTTCCTTTTGATGATTTCCAAAATATTTAGTATTAAAAACATTATTACTATTAAAAATATTATGCATCACAACTGTTATGCATATAAAAATATCATGCATCAGCAAATCGGAATATTAGATTGATATCTGGACGATCATGTGACACTAAAGACTGGAGTAATGATGCTGAAAATTTAGCTTTGACATCACAGGAATATATTACATTTTAAAATATATTTAAAATAGAAAAACGTTAATTTAAATTATAATAATATTTTTTTGAATAATATTTCAATATGAATATTTTAATGTATTTCTTATCAAATGAATGTAGAATTGGTGAGCATAAGATACTTCTTTCAAAAACATTAAACACCCCAAACTTTTGAATATAGTGTATTTAAATACTTTTTTTGCGTTTGAACATGCATGACTTTTTGCACATGTCTGACATCACAACTGGAACCTGATCATCCATGTCTGGAACCATGGAAACATGGAACCATGTCTGTCATAGTTATCAGGGTATTGTGCATGTAGACACTATCAGTTTTTTTTTGTTTTTTGTAATTTTATTCGAAAAACAATTTCAGTATTACTGGTTTAATAATTTACTTAAGTAAAAGCAGTTACGAATCACTGCTTTACAGTACCATACAGTAGGAGAAGACACAGTGCAACCTCCCCCCCTACCCCATAAACCCACTGCTGGACCACGGAGACTCCCTGCATCTGATCAGCAGATGGGTCGGCGATTATTAAATGTAATTGGTGGTAATCTCAGGTGATTTTTTATTTCGGTGACACTTCATTTTCTACAATTCTCGCCTCCTGCCTTTCAAGTCACC